TATATATGACCATGTTTTTTGTTCGATGCATATTGAATAAAACCATGGATGAGACTCAACCACGTACAAAAATAGTCATGGCAGAAGACACCGTCCTGGCAGGAGGGAGCCAACCCCCAGTTAGCAGCACTAGTTGTACCCTTACTTTGAAATCAAAGAGGAAAACAAGATATTATCTATTATTATTTATAGTATATAATTTACAATTATATGCGTTAAAGTAAGAATTCAGATAATTATGTTGATAAGGTGTAAGTTTTGAATAGATGTAAATTAAACAATTTGAGGAACAGCCTATGGGTAGGAATTGGCCCCCTCACAGAACAAGGATTATGTTTGTCTGAAACATTTCAAATATAAAACTAGCCATATCAAATGTGTAAACCGTACGTTTTTCAAAATTACTGAAGAATAAGCACAATTAATATTCTGAGTTTTTATGTTTTGTGGCATTAAAAAGGACAATATAATTTCCTTTTCCTTAAAAAGGTTTGATTATTCTGCATTCAAAATACAGTTTTCCTAGTAAACATTATCTTCTTAAGAACATGTAGCACAAGCATAAGAACATACTTCATACTCAATGGTTGTACCCTGAGAAAGTAAAATAATTTCATGATTTTAAGGTCATGTTAGCAAATCCTAAAAGAATAACAATTGGTATGATAAAAAAGTGAGCTTGGTGCACTTGCTGGTCACAACATATAACACATCAAAGAAAGCACTTATTTATACTACGGCTACTACTATTACTGCTACTACTATTACTACTACTACTACTACTACTATTACTACTAGTATTACTACTATTACTACTACTACTAGTACAACTATTACTATTACTACTACTACAACGACTATTACTGTTACTACTACTATTACTACTTCTGTTACTATTACTACTAATACTAATACTAAAACTTCTACTATTACTTTTACCACTACTATTACATATACCAATACTATTAGTAATACCGCAACTATTACTAATATCACGATTACTGCAACTTCTAATATCGCCATTAATGCTAATACTAATACTATTACCACCACCATCACCACTACTACCATACTAATACCACTACGACCATCACCTACTACTACTACTACTACTACTACTACTACTACTACTACTACTATTACTACTACTACTACTACTACTACTACTACTATTACTGCTTCATTTACTGTTACAGCTACTATTACTATTACTGCTATTACTATTACTGTTATTACCATTACTGCTTCGTTTACTGTTACTGCTACTATTACTACTATTGCTACTGCTGCTATTAGTACTAATACTATGCCCATGCTTTGTTGAACTCTCCCCCACCCGCTTGTATAGCAGAGGATGAATTACTATTTTGTTCATAAAGCAGAAAAAATTAAATCTACAGTCCTTTTATCAATGCAAATAATTTGCTATAACTCGGGAACGAAAATGCCGAAAAGTTTATTTATTTTTCAACTTTTATTCATCTTTCGACTATTTAAAGTTAACATTTTGGGAGGGGATTCTGGAACTCCAGAAAACATTCGCAGGTGATTTCCCCCATATGTTACAGTTTTTACTGTTTTTGATTACATGAATCAAATTCGAAAGTTATTACCACACCCTATTATTACTTTTGCTGCTGCTGCTGCTACTACTACTACTACTACTACTACTACTACTACTACTACTACTACTACTACTACTTCTACTACTTCTACTACTGCTACTACTACTTCTAATACTGTTTCAGCTACTATTACTACTATTCAGAATACTTTTCGTAGTACTAATGCTACCATTACTACTACGACTACTATTACTACGACTACTATTACTACGACTACTATTACTACGACTACTATTACTACTACTACCACCACCACCACAACCATAATCCTCGAGTACTAATACTCAACCGCTAAACGTTGATTACAAGTATTCAATCGCTGGTACTCAAATACAATTCCTACTACTTCAGTTGAACCGAATAGTTGGTTACCGTCTCAGTCTGAGTCAGAGATATTAGAATCATTATTCTTACTGCAACGCACTCTGCTGCTACTACTACTACTACTACTACTACTACAGCAGCTATTACTACTACTGCTACTACTCTTGCTGTTATTTCTTATACACCACTGCTTTTGCTTTACCTCTAGCGTATATCTATTTGCTACCATAGTTCCTTGCTCTAATATGAGATTTATTAGAATCCTCTGCCCTGGTACATTTGCTCTCACTATAACTATACTTACCTTCACAGGCAACAAATTTTCAATCAGTACTCATTTATAGTAACTGCTTCTGTAATATCACTCCTGTTGTAACTCCCTCCCCTGCTACTATTGCTGTAGTTGCATCTACTGCCCTCGTTACTATTGCCACTTCTACTACTGCCACTACTCCTAGGCCTACAACTATTGCCACTGTGATACTCTTTCTGCCACTACTACTACTACTACTACTACTACTACTACTACTACTACTACTACTACTACTACTACTACT